CAACTATTTATAACGGTTACAAATCCCGACGGAATGATTCGGCAACTAGACCGTAGAATCTCCTTTTTTTTTTGTATTTATTTTAAGTTTTGTGGAAACAGGTAATCAATAGCTAAAAGGCATGCTTTATTTGTTGGTACGTACTTTAGCTAATTAGAGCCATGCTTTACTTGGTGGTACTTTGAGTAATTAACAAGTGAGCAGAGAATGCATATATCAAATTCAAATCATGGGCAGGTTTATGATTGTCTATGAATAATTAATAGATCTAATTAAAAATTGCTAAAGTTCTTATACTTTAATTGTACTCTTACGGATTAATTACGCAATCATGTGGGTTAATTAAGTTTAGGTTCAAAGTATAAAATAAGCATACAAAATGAAAATATATGCATGGTTATTATGATGTAAGATGATGGGCCACGTTTGGTCTACTGGTGAATTTGGGCCCGTATATAATATTAAACCCACATGTTTTAGAATAAAATATCCTCTCCTCGTGTTTAAATAAAAAATAAGAAATACATTTTGATGTGTTGGTAGTATCATGAGGTACATTGCTTCTCTCTTATCATGGTGGACATAAGTATAAAACATTGCTACGTAGGATACCAAAACGTGTGAGTATGCTACTTAGTCTCAACACATTCAGGAATATCATATCTTTTCGTACCAAATTTTTTAAGTTGATCCACTTGGCCCCCATCCAACTCGTACGCTCACCAGATCACTCAAAGGACCCTAGTCGTTAGCTCGTGACTTCACCACAGTTATCTCCAACCTCTACCAATATTACCCGATTGCTCGCCTGAGCTGCCAACTCGAGTCGGGCTAGCTATAGAATCAAAATAGTGAGTCGAGAAGCTATATCGATAAATGTATTGGTATATTTGGATGGTTTCTATTTTACCTTCATCATATTTTACATAATTTGGGCAATGATTGCGTCTTCTTTTGGGGGCGTGCATGGATAGAAATATATTAATAAGTTTTTTTTTTTTTTTATGTTAACTATATTTAATTAAAAAATGTATTATGGTTAGTTGTTAGTAGGATTTCGATGTTATATTAAAATAATATTTAAAAAGTAATTAAATTTTATTTGATATAAAAGTATGAGAGACATGGTGTGAATTGATGGTTAGTTAAAATTATGTGAGTGTGTGAATAGTGAATTAAAGTTGATGTAATGTGTAAGAATGATTATTACAGATTACTTAATTATATTAATAGTAGTGGGAATAATAGAGTTGAGTTAAATATGAATTAAATTTTGAGTATGAAATGCGTATAAATTGAATTTATTTATATACAAATATACTAGTATGGAGAAATTACAATACTTTAAACCGCTTTTTTTTATATTATTGTTTTCTCTTATAAGTTTGTAAGTTTAAGTTGTGGTAAATTACTAAATTTGTTATGGGCCTTCGGCCTTCGCTACCATGTAGTTTTAAATTTTTAAACAAAATATATTCCATAACCTTCGAGTCTCAGAGACAATGATGGTTCTGGTTTTTTACTTCTTTTAATGAACTTTACTTGAAAAAAATAGGGTTAATTGCATTTAAAATCCTAACTTTTTGTGTAATTGTAAATAAAACTTAACTTTTTCAATTTAACAAAAAAAATATCAAACCTTTAATAAGTATTGCAATTGTGTCTTACCCGCCGGACCGCCGCCGGCCAACTTCGCCGGATGTTGAAAATTTTACATGATCTTGTAACTCTCCTCCGTGCCGACACGTATTCGAGTTTCACGAAAAAACTCCAACGATAAGACTTTCAATTTTCCAGTCAAAATCGTAGATTTTCAAATTTTCTCCGGCGTTCTTTCACAAACTCCCGGTGACTCGCTTTGACCCATGTGAATCCGAAGGTACCGTTGAACTCCTCTCGTAAACCCGCATCTAGTAACGTCCACCTTCGCCGGAACCGATGATTTTTTCCGGCGACGACTTTTCCGGTCATCTTATTCAAGGTTTGGTATGGCTGGAAACTGATTTGGAGACACAATTGCAATACTTAATAAATGTTTGTTATTTTTTTGCCAAATTGAAAAAGTTGACTTTTATTTACAATTACACAAAATGTTGGAATTTTAAATGCAATTAGCCCAAAAAATAATAATTAAAAAAAAAAACCTAACGTTAAAGGCGAGGGAAAACGAAATGACGGTGGTAGAGCCGTGTTCGGTGGAGCGAACTGGAATGAGACCATTTTTCCGAATATCAGGAGCATGCTTTTCAAGCTCATGATTCCTTTTTGAAATGGTGAAACAATTGTTATATCCGTATGAGCTTCCTTTTCAATATGGTGAAACCATTTTTATATCCGTTTCCTTTGCTAATTATTCGTTTGAAATTTGAACAACTCCACCAACCACGGGTGAGATGTAATGGAGTAGTATAGTCTAAAAAAAGTCTTACCATGTTAAATTCATGCTCTCTCAACTTTATGTACTTAATTGTTATAGTTGTTAGACATGGTAATAAGCAATGGGGCACTTAATTCTTTGAAGCCGAGACCGTAGACCACCATTTTCGCAATTGAGCTTGAACAGGAAATGTGATGGTCAACAATCCCAGCTACAAAAAATTAAGTGTCTAAATGCCTATTAGCATATCTAACAACCATAACAATAATTAAGTGGATAGTGTTGAGTGAGCATGAATTTATCATGGCATGATATTTTTTTAAACTAATACTACTCATTTACATCTTACCCGAAGGCTGTCTCGACCCATCCCCTGCATATGTCCCGGCACCATAAGGATTAAGCACTCCCGCCTTCATAGAAAGTAAAGACGGACGCCGAGATCTAAGATCGTCGATTCCCGTAGTCTAACCAAATTCATTCCCTAGCGCCAGGCGCCTCACTTAATGACCGCGCGTCGCAACGCGGCAAAATTAAATTTTATATTTTTTCTTACAACTTCTACCAACTGGTAGTAGTAGTGAGTAAGGGTCGAACCCACAGGGAGTGTAGAATTTAGTTACTATTATTTCCTTTAATTGAAAGTACGAAAGCACAAATAAAAGGGGGGAATTTTGTATGAATTAATTAACTACTAAATAATGAAAAATGGAATAAAATTAAATGCAGCAATTAAATATGATTAATCAAGCAATGGGGAAGATTCTAGTCCACAGTTCTGCCTACACCCTCGATTGACTCGTCTAATCAATTTTAGTATCAAATCTCGCTATCTCATGGAATTACTAGCCCTAGGCAACGACACGGTCTGTTACCCGAATTTTTCTTTATTTTTAGTCTAACCGCGAGACGCTCTACGATTAGACCTGACTTCTTGTACAATCTAGAAAACGCTTCTTAGATTTAATACAATCAGCCGCTTTACGCATTAGAAAAATAGGCTAGACTAAGTAGTGACGCGTTCGTTCACTTAAATAGGCTGTGTTATCCCCGGTAGTTACCATCTTCCGGATACCACTTGCGAATTAAACACATCAACAATTACGGATTGAAGGCCTAATTCAGGTGTAGATATGTAAAACCTAATCTAGGTGATCAATCTAAATCAAACTAAACACATCATGGTTAATTATTCAAAATAACACAAACAATTCCAAAAAGATAATTAAATCATCAACCATATAAATCAATCAAACATCGTCAATCAAAGGGTTCGACTTCCCCGGAACTAGAAATAAAAGAACTACTCACTACTCATAATGTTCAAAAACATGATCATCAAATTAATTACACAAGAAAGAAATGAAAAAGAAAAGAAAAGAAAAAAGATTCTTCTCTGTTCCAATGCTTTTTGTTGCTTGTGCCTTGCGATCTGCTCTTTTTTCAGTCTCTGTTCAATTCCCCCAGCCGCTAATGTATATGTCCCAGCCGTCAATAGAAAAACTCCCCTTTTACAAACCCTTTTCCTTTCTTTTATTCCAAGTCAACTAAAGCAGTGGGCCCCTTCACATTAATTCCTAGCATAAAGTTAGCCCAACTTCTAATATTTTCAGCCCCATTAAATTAACTCATGCCATGTTATACGTAAAACGCATTGGGCTTTTCCACATGTATGGCCCTGCTGGCCAGTACGGGGCGCTGGAACGTAGTACTGGGTACCCCAATACTACATCAAACAAAAATTTATCGAGCTCACGTCTTGCATTCAACGTCGTCACTTGCTAAGAATAATCCCAAAACTCTGAAAACACTCAAGAAACTCATCAAGGCACCACAATCTATCATAATATTAAATAAGTCGAAAATCATATAAATGCGTGTAAATAAACGTGCACTATTACAAAATTAAACAATCAAAGCGAGCACGTTTCTCGACTAATCAACGACTATTGATCTTCGAAGCATCTTTCTTTTCCTCTTCTCTAATTCAGTCCAACCGCCCTAAGTCTGAGAGATGAGTCCCCAATCCCAATAGGCCCTTTCATCTCAAAACATTGCCTCTAAGTTGCTCCTTTTCTTAAGCATTTTCGTTTCCTGCTCTTATTGCAGCTTTAACATTAAGTGAGTGAACTGGTCAGTAACCATATTCACTTGTATTTACAGGACACGCACGTAGATCTTCAGATTTAGGTGGGTCCCACACAACCCGAACCGCACGACGTCTTCCGGCGCTCTGCTCTGCTTGTCGGCGGAGAACGAATCGCGGAGGGATGAGGGGCAGGGGCCATTTCGTGAATAAAATGCGACCAATTAACCAACCAACAAATTCACAAGAAAAAAATTTCTTCGTTTTACGAACATAGCAATAATGCAAAGTTGTCCAGAACCAACAATGACAAGCTATTGTACTGATTTAGAATAATATGGTAGAACAAGCTCCAAAACTCAGCATCAAGCCTTTTTCAAGACTAATACTAATAGGATGAGGGGGAAAGTAAACATTCTACACGCCTCTAACAAGAAACGAAGGCAAACACTGAACCTAAGGCTCAAGCTACTTGTTACAAACAATAAACATTGTGATGAAGACCATGAATCGAAAGCCATTCTCATCATCCCAAAATCAGTCGAATTTATAACCTTGTCCAGATTCTTCACGTATGACTTTGTCTTCTCCAACCTTGGATTTTTGTTCCTCTTGCACCTAGACAAGGTGAAATAATTGTTTATTTCAATAAAAGGAAAACATCGAACTGGATTACTTATTCATATTACAAGAGAATTTACCTGCTGGAGGACCTTCTTTTGAAAGCGGTATCCCTGCAAAATAAAAAATATATATATATATATATATATATGAGTAAATAATAATTTTGACGAGCCAATTTTTATACCATTGTAACTTCTAACTTAACATATGATGCCATTCTAGTGATTATTACCTTGTCAGTGCCATATATGTAATCGCAATAGGTAAATACTGATGCAAAGTTACTTTGACTCTGTCCACCGACATAATGATGGTAATCATGGTAATCCGGGCCACCGTAAAAAGGGATATACTTTGTTGGAGTCCACGGGAAATCGTACCTGCATCAACACAAATGTCGTCATGAACAAAAACAAGCAGCAGAGTAATAATGCGCATTACGGAAGAGTAATAATGAAAAAGCTTCACATAACCTAGCAAAAGAATATAGAGAATTTTCACAAGAAAAAAGTAGCTTTTGCAGTTTTATCAGGCAATGCTTTAGACAAGATGATTCAACCATTTCTGATCCACAGTAGTTTAATAAAACTACATTCAAGATTTTCGTCCCACAGGAAAAATATGTTCGATATATACAAACTTAATACTAATATTCCAAGTAAATTGAGAAGTTGGTGGCAGGAAAATAGTCACTGATTAGTTGCATTGTCATACAAATCGAGATAAACAAAGTGCGTTTTAATAAAATATTGTAATTCATGTCGGAACAGACAGGTATTTAGCAAGAAAATTTTGGGAAATCAGATATAATAAAATTCAGAAGCTGTTACAATGAAGTTTAGGTAATAAACACATGTTCGGTGACGCCTTTCTCAAATTTTAGCAGAATTGCATTTATGTCTTAACATCAGTGGCTGTAGAACATCAGACTCTTACTGGGCTACATCATTAATGAACGAAGTCTAACAAGATGAAATGATTTGGGACTCGAATAACTTAATAAATAGCTGACACTTGAGAGTCATACTAATTATATTAGTTAATATGTTAAAAGAAAACATATATGTTATGTAAATTATTGTACAATATAACTCCTCAGCATTTCCATTGCTTCATATTCTACTCTAAACCCAAGCCTTACAAGCCTCAATCAAAATGGCCCAGCGACTAAACGGTGGCACTTATAAACAAAAGATAGTCTAACAGGCAGCAAACACCCAAGACTTTCACATTTACGAACTAAAATATCACCTCTTCATGCAGACGAACTTCGCGAGCAAGGAAGTCTCTACTACACATGCCACAACTTCACAAAACATAGAAGGTGTTCAAAAAAGATAACCCTATCAATATTTACATTCTAGGGATCTTTTTCACTATACGAGATTAACACCGTCTTTAAAAAAAGACGAGCATTTTAAACTCATATGAAAGGAAACATTATTCACAACAAACTGTAGTAAATGACAACCTAATAAGATCAACAAGAATAAAGCATTAAAATTTATAAATGAAAACAAAAAAGGCAATTAAAGTGGGTAGGGGGAGAAGGGGAGAAAAGGCACTCCTCAAAACCTCCTCGCCGTGAACAAAAGTTAATCCACTATTATGGAACTCACCCCACTAATCCAATTACTTACTTACTTCCCACCGAATCAATGGGAATCCCAAAAAGCAAACAGCTTTAGCAAGTGATAAGAAAAAAAATACCACAGTGGAGCCATCATTTGGTCTAGTTATTAAAACCAAAGGCAAACAAAAAATGGAACTTAAATCAATCAAACGACGCATCAAATCAAAGCACGAGCGGTTTTAAGCATGGCAAAAGTACATTACCCACTATGAGTCTCAATTGCCTCAATCTGCCTCAAACCAATCCAAAGCCAGAAAGTAAGGATATGTCCTGGGACCATAGCAGGCCCGAGAAAAGACGGGATGCCGAGGATCAAAACCTCAGCCCAGTGGGCATATGGAGCCGCGAACCCGATTGGGGCTGTGTATTCATGATGCACCTTGTGGATTTTCTCGTACCCCCACTTGCAGTGAAGAAACCTGTGGATCCAATAGTTTGTGTAGTCCTCGATTACAAAATAAACCCCCAATTGCAGCAGAATTTCCCATAATGAAGGCAATGACAAGCTCGTTCGTATTCCTATCAACTTCAATCACACAAAAAATGGAAAAAAAAATATTAAAAATTCAACGATTCCAGTACAATCACATGGAGATTTCAAAGGTTCCACATCAAAGCACAAATCTTTAGCAGCACAAGATTAAAAAAACGAACCAACACACAGTTAGAGACGATACATGTCAAGACGAATTAGATAAAAATTGAGAGATTAACGAGACGGCCCACCTTAACGGCGGGGTAGGAGACGAGCTGAAGGGGCCCCACGACCAGAAAGAACATGCCCATGACCGATTTGTAGCATCGGAGCGTGTCGGAAAATGAGAGCTTCACCTTGGGCTGGATTTTGTAAGGGCTGACGGATTTCCCGAAGAAGTTCTCCAAGAGGAGGTAGTAAAAGGGGAAGACGGAGAAGATGAGGAAGAGGAAGATGATGTTGTGGCAGTAGAGGACGTAATCGGACTTGGCGGCGGAGTACCTGAGCCACAGCGCCTCGGCCGCCGTGAGGGATCTGCCGAGGGCGGCTTCCGCCGCGTCCACGGTGGCGTAAGGCAGCATTAGGCGGGNGGGGGGGGGGGGTTCTTTGGCTGCTTGCGCTTTGTGGGGTTGTGGTTTGGTTTAGGGGTGTCGCAGCAGAGATTGTGTGGATTTTGTTTTTTTGTCGTCACTCTTTTGTCAGACGAGTCTTGTTAAAATATGCGGGAGAACAGAGGTTGATATCCTTCAAAACGGTGTCTCTGAGTTAGAATAGATTCGTAAACCGGGTCGGCTGATTCGTTTTAGGTCCAATGAAGTTGCCGAATAAAACGCTACTCTTCTTAGTAGTGACAAAATTGTTCGTGCTCCACATTTTTACACTACTCGAGATATAAATAGTATCGCGTTAGTCAAATAGTTTCACGCTACATATGACACGGTACTAATGACTCTACAATTTTATTTATTTTTTATTAGTTTTATATTACATGTAATTGATTTATATTAATATTTATTATTTGACAAAGTTTGTACTGTTAATTTTATAATTTAAATATAGAACCACATGAAACATATTATTTTTAATATATATATATATATCTATACTTATATAAAAAACCATCTCATTTACTAGAATTAATAGGAAGAAAAGTCAACTCATAATTAATTGTGCATCATATTTAGAAAGTTTTTAGATTTTTCAAATTATGAGTTTTGTTGAATTCATTTTTTAAAATTTCGATAGATATTGAAGTGAATATGTTTAATAAAATTTGCATCCAAATATACGTGTGATTTTGAAGCGAAAATTTAAAATTCAAAATCACTTCTCATTTTAGTTACAAGAAAATCAGGTTTCGTTCAACACTTGGACCAATTTAAAAATTATTCCTTAAATGAAGGAATTTATAGATAATTGTTATCTCTACTCAATCACATGATTATTTTCAATATAAAAAGAGACAGATTACAAAATTAATGAATCATATATTACTTAATTCAATATCTTAACATTAAGGTATAAATCCATAGTATTATGTAAATCCATATCTCATATTATTAATCATTAAGAAAACAACGCTGGTTAAAAGATGTGAAAAAAAAAGCTTGTAACCCTATTATTTTTTAGACTTAACGTTGGTTAAAAGAGTTTTCTTAGACTTAACGTTGATTAAAAAGGTAGAAAATAGATAATAACCCTATTACTTTTAAGGGAAATTCTATTGGAAGACTTGACTTTTAGTATATGTATTAATATAAGGCCTGAATTTTGTACTTTTTCAACTGAAGGCTTACATTTTAGGTTATTCTCACTTTAAGGCTTACTTTTTAATTAACTTTTCATTATATGGCCCAACTAACTTTACTTTTTTCATATAAATATGTAAAACAATTATATGTGAATAAAAGTTTTATTATTATTATTATTATTATTATTTTACATACTCATAATAAAAAATAATAAATATCTTTAGTAAAATTATATTAATAAAAAATAAAACTATATAAATTACAATGATAAAACATTGGAATTACAATGATGGGAAACTAAGATAGTAAAATTATATTAATAAAAAATAAAACTATATAAACATCTATTTTCAATGATGTAATTTTTCATTGTTAAACTTTTTGCATAAATATAATTTATATAGTTTCGCATCATTGTAATTTATATAGTTTCGTTTTTTATTAATATAATTTTACTAACGATATTTATTATTTTTTTGTTATAAGTATGTAAAATATAAATTACAAAATAACAACAACAACAACAACAACAACAACAACAACAACAACAACAACAACAACAACAACAACAACAACAACAACAACAACAACAACAACAATAACAATTCTATTCACATAATAGTTGTTTTACATATTTACATGAAAAAGTAAAGTCAGTTGGGCCTTATAATGAAAAGTTAACTAAAAAGTAAGTCTTAAAGTGAGAATAATCTAAAATGTAAGTATTCTTTGAAAAAGTATAAAATTCAGGTCTTAAATTAATACATATACTAAAAGTTAAGCCTTCTAATGGAATTTCCCCTTTACTTTTTAGACTTACACAAACAAGACTGTGAAAATAACTCTTTTAATATCTTTGTCTCGTGCATCGCACGAGGTACATACTAATATATATTGAATTACTCTAAAATAAATCACATAATATACAAATATAGTAATTCTTTGTCGAATAATGTTTCAAAGCCGACCAGCTAACATCGTGATATATATATTTTATAAAATAATATGTCCATGTAAATAATGCATGTTTAAATAAATTAAAATAATATGAATAATATATGTGGAGTAAAATGTAGCGTGAACGGTTGAAGATCGAATTTGATTTTTGTTTAACTGTACACTAGAATATATATAAGGACTGGAGATGGTTTTAGGCGTGCTTGGATATAAATATATATGCTCAAAACGGGTTTTCTTAACTAGGATTAATTATTAAAAAAGAAATATAATTAGTTGTTAGTGATATTTTACAATTATATTAAAATAAAATAATTACAGTTGATTTATGTACAAGTAGGAGCGATAATGTGAAGTAATTGTTAGTTAAATTATATGAGTTGGTTAATAGTAAATTAAAATTGATGTGATTTATAAAAATAATTGATTAATAATATTTAATCATATTGATAATATTGAAAATAATGAAGCTAAGTTAAAATAATTACACGAAGCGAAACTCGCGACCTCGCAAGCTGCTTCGCGGGCGCGAGTGCAGGGGCGCTCTCGGGGTTGAACTCGTGACCCCACGAATGATGACTTGGATCGCGACTCGCGAGTGCTGCATGCGACGGGTCTCTAGCCCGACATGGCATAGGGTGCGCTCGGGCGCGAGCGCGGCTGCGTGCGGGCGGGGGTGTGACGACCACCAAGTGCTACATTGAGGTTATGATAATGCTAATTTTGAAAACAATAATTTTAGAGGTTTCGTGCCAAACTAGATAAAAAATCACTTATATTAAAATCCAAAAATTATAGCTTATTAATCTTCTTGAGTATAAGTAAATGCTCATTGCTGAGACTCTCCAACTAAGTCAAATATAGCTTGTATTAATTTTGTTTATATTATTGTCTATCATAAGCGAATGTTAAATTTTATGAGAGGTGTAAAACAATTTAATTTAAAGTTTACAACCCCTATATTAATAAATTTTCAAAAATACTTTAATTTGTTGAAACATATAAAATGATAATATCATTGTAAATAACCATGCATGGTGGATATATAGTACCTCTGGTGGTGATCATGCAATTCTACAACATATATAAATGGCATTTAGTATCACACATAAATTAAATAAAGCAGTAACTATAAACTCCAAAATTATGTATGAATATATATACTAGTACTCACATATTTAGATAAACTATACAAAGCCCATAAGCCCACACTATTGTAATATATCTCATTCTACTTTTAAGTATAGTTGGTTTTGCACTGTAAGTAGAGGATATAAAAATAACTTAAAACCATTTTATAGTGAAATATTATTTCTAAACTGCACATGAATGCGAAAGTACTATTTTTTTTGTAGCTCAAAATTGAATTTAAGTATTGCTCAAGTAAGGTTGGATGGGTCGGGATGTGTTCGTTTGTGACTGAACCCGTCCGAAAATGTGTCTTCTGGCTCAAAACTCGTGGTGAATCTTTACAGCACCTATAAATACACCCTACAATGAAATCATTTCATATGTAGACTTAACACAAGGTTTAACCTAGTTAGGACATAAGAATTTCATTTTTGTGTTTATATTTTTCGTTTATTTTTCTGGAGACAAAGTAGTTTGGTCGAATTATTATGTATAATTTGAAGTGTCCGTATACACATTGTTAGAATATCACTTGTGAGTTGTCCCACATCGTTCATACATGAAAAATAGACCCACTTTATAAGTCTAATGGGCTACTCCTCCTTCCACCAATTGGTTTTGGGATGGAACCCCACTTGGGCTTCATATGGGCTTTTTCCCGCCATGGTGCGTTTTATGTTAGTGGGACCGCACTCATTTTCCACCAATTTCTTACACACACGATTAAAGTCATTGTATCATGGAGGCGTTTGTTGAAAACTGAGTGGGCGAAAAGCATCATACAGTCGACAATCATTGTATCATGGAGGCGTTTGTTGAAAACTGATTGGGCGAAAAGCGAGATGCATCATACGGTCGTCGATTTCGTCTTATGAAAACCGTAATTCAAGTCATTTTCTCCCATTTTATCCGTATGATTTGTTTAAGATATGATAACTACATGACGTGATGTCATATTCCCAAAGGGGACAGAGACAAAAATGGTTCAATTTCGAAGAACCTTCCCTACTCAAACTCTTTTGCGTGCAAGTGTCCTATGATATCTATCTTAGTTCAATTATTTCCAACGTCAAAAAAAAACGAAAAATGAAAATGTGACACAAAAACACATGCATATGATCATAAATATTTCACAATCACACATTACACTTTTCAATTGCCATATATACTATATACACTAGCATTTATATTATATATTCATTACAATTCCTTTGTTACATTTTGAAGTACTAGCTAGCTAGCTAACTAGCTCGATGGACTCTTTATCTCCGCCCGGAAGTCAGAACGGGAGAGAGGCTCGTCGGCACTATTTAACGAAAGCGTTGTTCAAAGTGAACATTCAAAACAGCTTGGGGCCGGTGCAGGTGGTGATGCAGCCGGAAAACACGGCGGCCGAGCTGACAGAGGCGGCAATAGCCGTTTACGTGAAGGAGAGGCGGCGGCCGTTGCTCGGGAGTTGTGACCCCGGTTGTTATGACCTTCACTATTCGCAATTTAACCTCGAAAGTAAGTTGGTTCGAAAATATTATAAGTCATATCTGTGTATATATATATGTATAAATGCCATAAATTCAATGTTTTATAATTTGTTGAAAGATTATATGTTCAACATCTGGATACAATAAATATACTGTGGATATTTTGGTGTTCTTTTGAAGGTCTGAAGCCAGAAGAGAAGTTGGAGGACTTGGGGTCACGCAATTTCTTTTTGTGCCCAAAATTCAATCTTGAAAACACAAAGTAAATTTGCAGTCAATAACAACTCCGATAAGCGGAGTGTCCAGGCGGCGAAGTGTCCAGGCGGTTTACAACGATTGGCGAGTCCCCTACCGGGGGTGAGCATGTGGTTAATTGCTTCATGATAGGATGGGTGTCGCTCATCCTAGAAACGTTTTTGCGTACCAAAAAAAAAAAAAAAAAATAACAACTCCGATAAGCATTCTTCAGTTATATATATTAATCTAAAACTTACTTAATTTGGATGATCATTTGATGTGATTGGAAAGGTTGATCGAAGTCATTATCAGTTTTCTGTTTATTGGTAGGATGATGAAATTGTATGAATCAAGGTGGCATTGTTCGTTATTCGTCTTTACAGAACTCGTTGTCAACGTTCACCTATTAGAAAGGGTTGTTACAATTCAAATGTTTGTGAATATCATTTTGTGTAAGAGTCGTGGGTAAAACGGGTGTGTCATCGTATGCAATCGAAGCGCAACGTGACAGGAAAAGTCCACATGAAACCCAAGTGAGATTTCAATCCGAAATCAATTGGTGGAAAGATGAGTAGCACACTAGATTTATAAGTTATGTCTATTTTCCCTATATAAACGATGTGGGGAATTCACAAGTGATATTTTAACACGTCCTCTCACTTGTAAGTCATTATTAAGAACTCAAGCCCATAAACGGGATCGAGAGCCCAAGCCCAACTAGGCTGGGTAACGAGTATGTCACTTAAAAAAAATATGTACTCGGCATGGTTGTAGGCTCGGGCTTATGAGGATGATTAAGTGTACTCAGTCAGCCTGGTTGTAGGCTTTAGTTGATGAAGGATTCACAAGTGAAAGGACGTGTTGAAATATCACTTGTGAGTTGTCTCAATTGATTTGATGGGGTAAATGAGCCTGTTTATAACCTTAGTGGGTTACTTCTCTCATCACTAGTTGGTTTTGGGATGAAACCTCACTAAAGTACAACTAGACTCACTATCTTATGATGCGCTACATTGCGTGGGACCGCATCCTTTATGCCCGGATTATCAAAATTTGACATTTTGCTTCTTACGCACTATCTATAGATGAATATATATCATTATCTAACACAATAAAAATATAGCAATGTGCAGCGTTTCCCGCTAAAGGCATATATTATCTATTTTTCTAGAAAAGTTCACCCCCACCGCCGGTGTAAATATATGTACATAATTTGACAATTGAAACTCTAAATTCGAATATGGCGCTACTTTTTTTTTTCTCAAACGGTAGGTTTCATTAACAAACACAAAGACTAAAGCCCAGTCATACAGTCGAATACAACAACCACACGACCGAATACACAGCTTCACAACTTAATCTAGCAGGAAGAACTACAACAAAGTGTAGCCTAAAACTTACCTACCACAACAAACACGATAAATGCTCCCGAAAGGAGAATAGACAAACAAAATATCCCAACAGGAGAATACAACTCGCAACAGTAGAATACACCAAACGCACTCCCAAGGGAGAGAAAAACGAAAAACACGGCCTACACACAAACAAACACCTAGAACATAACTAAAAAAAAAAAAACGCAACACCACCACCCTTCTCAGGCCGACAACCACACCAAGCTACCCGACTGCCACGCCAACGAACATCCATCCACGGACAGGGCTACGATCTAAGAGCCTGAACCAGAAATTGCCAACTAACGCCTAACTAGCCCAAACACCACCGAACTTAGCCAACATCCAGATAGATACTCGAGACCCAAACCTGGAGTCCTACACCACCAGTCACCCACAACAGACCAACAAGATCATACCTAGATCCTGAATCCCAGTCCTCTGCCTAAAGTCGCCGGTGATCACCCCCGTCCAACACCAGAGACAAGAGTGACACGAAAGCTGGAAACGGAGCCCTCTGCCCCACGGAGACCCTCACCACCAATCCCCACAACAAACCAGCAAGATCTAGCTCAGACCCTGAAATTCCAACCTCAGCCCAAGCTCGCCGGCGATCACCCCCGTCCAACACCAGAGACGGAAGGGACGCAACAGCTGGAAGCGAAAACATCCACCCTGGATCTCCCAGAAAGGGAGACGAGGCCGCGACTCGCTCCAGAGAACAGCCAGAGGCTCGCCCAAACCGCGAATACACCGACAAGAAAAACGCACGTCTCCCCGTCGTCCTAGCAACCTTTTAATCAACGACACCTAGGATGGGGATTGAGACTCGAGTACCGACGAAGAACCCTCCTCCGAAGCGACGATTCACCGAGGAGCGGGCCGCGAGGCCCGAGGATGCCCCACCGAGAAGCCTTGAGCAGCTCTGCTATGGAAGGTGTCAGAAAATTCGATTTGGACGAAGATGAGGGTTTGGATTTGGGCGTGTTTTTTAAGAGAGAGAAATTATGGTTTACCCCCGAATATGACGCTACAGGGCTGATTTTTTTTTAGAAGTGCAGATATATTAATAAAAACATATAATTACAAATGGCTAACTAGTCAATTGAAACAACCAAAAACTGAATTCATTTGCTAAAGGCGTACGAGTCAATAGACCGTAGCCTATAAACAACTACTAAACACATCCACAAAGCTAAAAACTAGCAAACTAGAAAAACTAAACTATCACAAGTAGAGGATGTTAACTCGCAAATCAGAGTACAACTCCCAAAATGGGAGAATATGACATGGTTTAAAATAAAGACAAACACAACCAAACAAACACTAAACACATAGATAGTAGACTAAAGTCCTCCTTACTGGTCGGAAGATATCCCGAACCGCTACCACTCGAACCAACCTCAAGGCAATCAACCACGAGGATAGATACCTATGCCACAACCCAAATAAGATCGAGAAACTCTTCCTACAACTCTAACTCTGATCCGACATACCCGAAACTAACCCAAATTTAAGGATAACCCCAAGAGACCCACTCCACCGCCCTCTCCCACCATAAAAATTGGCAGACGCAGCCGGAAAAGCCACCCTCGCCGGAAAGATCTGCTATCATAGCACCAGAGATAGCTGAATCAGGAGAGGACTGAGGTGTCGGCCTCAACCTCGACAACTGCAAAACAGTGTCGACGCCATTCGCCACTCCTTGTCAGTAGACACGGCCACGAACCGAACCGGCTCGTGGCCTGACCCGCGAACCGGTACCGACCTGGCCCGAACCGACCCGAACCGGCCTCTTAAGGGCCGGTTCGTTGAACCGGGACCCGTAGGGCCGCAGTTCGGTCCCAGTTCCTTTATTTTTTTTTGACCCGCCGGTCCGGGCCAGGTCGGGTCGGACTTTTTAAGGGCCGTACCGGCCCGTGAACCGCCGGGTCGGTGAACAGGCGGTTCGGGCCGGTACTGTGAACCGGCCCTTGGTTTTTAGGCGGGCCGGTCGCGGGCCATGTGTTGGAGGGCCCGTGGCCCAGCGAGCCGGGTCGGGAACCGGTACCTGGCCACGTCTACTTGTCAGCAAGTCGTCTGCCTAGCAAAACTGGCAACAAGTGAAATCTACGCGGAGAAGGGAGTGAAAACTGAGAAACCCCGGGAAGAGCATCGCCTGATCAAGAGCTGACCCAGAGCCGGACAACGTCGCCAGGCGCGGAGCCCCACTGGAAAGGTGGCAAAACTTAGGCAACCGGAAACTAGGTCGAATTTAAGATTATATCTTATGTTAGAGGAGAAAGATAAATGAACAAATTTTTTTAATTAAAACAGAGTGGAATCTTCCAGTTTACATGTTTTTGTAAGCATCCATTGAAATGAAATTTGTTTCATTTTTGTATAACAAATTATTAAATTTTATAGTCCAACTTTACATTTTCTTAAATTGTTATGATCTAAATTTCTTCTGAAATTTACATCTGGTTGTTCTTTTAATATTTGCAATGTTATTTATTTAACAAATTCCATGTATAAAATTTTAATTGTATGACCCAATTATATTTATTATGTAGTAGCTTCTCTAAAATGTGATGTAATGCATAAGGAGTAGTCCATATTGTACATTTGAAACTCAAATTTATTAATTTGAACTTTTATGATTGTAATCAATATATTAATAAATTCTCTCATAAAATAATATTGCCCACTTTATTTATAACACTAGTTGTTACATGTGTATTGCACAGAAAACTATATGATAAAGAATTAAATTATAAAAAAATTATAAACAATAATAAAAATCATAATATAATCATCGAAAAAAAGTTAAAAAAAAATATTATTAAATACTTCTTTATGTGCAACATTCGTGGTTTTTTAATCGTCAGAATCACCACAAATCATTATCTTCAAACCCCTTCGGCTCGTAACTCTAGAAAGCGCCACGTACAATTGTTCATGGCTAAATACAGGGCTCTTCAATAGTAAGCTGATGTGCGACAGTATTGTCCTTGACTCTTATTGATTGTCATAACATAGGAAACCATGAGCAGAAACTGCCTGCGCTGAATGTATGATTTTGAGCCTACGAATAAGAACCTTATCACCAGCTCTGACACTGGTTCATATTTTGCATTTGAATACATGGCTGTTGAGCTTAGTAATAACTAACCGAGTATATGTCGATCTCAAAATTCGGAGAACAAAAACATATCAATCGAATTGTACACTAATCAAAGAAAATATAAATGATGGATAAGAATTTTATTGGTTGCCAATTGAAGTGCACCCTTTGTCGTTGGATGCGAGTACCATTTGTCTTTGTACCGGTTATGCTGATATCTTCATAACTATCACTTGCAACCCCAAGTGGCCTGAAATCAGTCGATTCCTTTCTGAAAGGAACCTCAACCCTGAGGACCATCTAGATATAATTTATCGTGTCTTTAAGGCGAAGTTTGATGCACTGATGAAGGATGTTCGGACCCATATAACACGGCCAAAGTTTCATCCACCACACATATATAGAACATTTAATAAGGTGGTAGAGGCAGGTATTTGATGCATGAAACCCTACCACGTGCAACATTTTTGCCGTTTCTTCTTCACTTTTAATTTTTTTTCTCTCATCTACACAAACACTCGGATCGATTCCTATTTTGTTTAGTTGTCGTAGTCATGCTTTTAATTTATCAACGGGGAAGCTATTGATCTAGATGTGAATTGTTTGTTTAAAGGTTTAATATATTTGTATGCTTTTTGTATTATTTCGTGGATAAAATTTTGGGATCATTTTTATTGTATAATTTTTTTATGACAAATAATTTTGGTCAGGAAACACCTTAAAATTTTCTATGGCATAAATACGACCCTCACTGATTTTAAACTTCTTAAAATTTTTCAGCGAAGCAACCGGGGCCTGAAGCGTGAATTCACTGACCCTACACGATAAAAAATAATAATATTATAAAAAATCGATATTGAAATAGTATGTGTTAAAAAAGACTAAAAAGATTTTTATACCTTTACATCGTGAAATACGTACTCCAATCCGCCATTTTGATATTTTTTCTTTTTATTTTCATTTTATCAAAGTTCTTGTTGAATAATGACGAATCAACCTCAATATTATCAAACATAAAAGCCATTTGAAATGAGAATGTGGCAGAATTTTTTTTTTCTTATCGAGTAGTATTTTTTGCTGAATGTGATTTTGGTTCTTATTTTTTCATCTATTTATAAAGGTTTAGAAAATGGTCATTGATTGTATAATTTAATTGCCAAGTGATTGCTCAGTTTTAAAGAATAATTGATTGATTTTAATTTTTTTTACTGACTCTAATATTGTCCCGCCATTTTAATTGATGGATTGCACGATCCTTCATTTATATAATATTTATAATTTAAGATAAATAATGAGTATATCATATTGTTGAAATTTTATGGTTTGTAAATATAAACGATATAAGTATAAACTATTTAACCTACATATAAATCACTATAATGATAATTGTAGAAAATAATAGTGATTATGACCAATTAACTAGATAAAAAATGATTTGTTTATGCCATAAAAAGTTATTAACTATTTTTATTAAAAAATATTAATGAGTTAAAAAATAATTATTATTGTAAATAAGTAGCTTAAAAAATCTAAATAACTTTTTTTATATGTATAAACTTTCTTATATCCTTTAGTTATTATTAGTTATTATGTAATTATAAAGTATATAATGTAATTAATTAAGAAAAATTATAACAGCTTCTTTTTACAATTAATGAAATAAAATGTGCTGATTTTATTTTTGCAATAAATTCTGTGTGAATAGCTATATATATATATATATATATATATATAGGAATATAAATATAATCATAATGGGAATGCTATTTATATAAAATACATTAAATATTATTATTATTATTATTATCGTTCTACTACTATTTGAGGCTATGAATTTTATTTAAACGAATGCACTTAAAAAATTAAACACGTTCTCATGCAACAATAAATTGTCTTTTATAAGAACGATTGTTTTATTTTAATTTTCTATTTTTGTATTATACCCACAGGTTTTAGTAGAATAATTTGTAATCATTCTATTTAAAAAATATATAGAATAAAAGTTAGAATTATTAAATGAACGGATAAAATCGTAACAATTAATTTCAACATTAGTATGCTTACATATTCAGTAAAAAAAACCAAACTACTATGTATAAAAAAAAAAGAGTGGAATATGCAAATTTTTATTGATGTGATAATTTCTAATTATATATAGATTATTTTAAATTTTAAATTAGTTTTTATTAGATGTCATAAAATAAAATAAAAAGATGAAAATACATTTTAAAAGAATGAAATGTTACAATGTATAATCATAAAATGTACAATAATAATCCATAATTGTAAAAATAACGTTCATTGTATATGGAAGGTTGTAGTATTTATTAGGTATAATTTATTAGGTGAAATTAAATAGATTTTATTTATGAGGTTAAAACTATTATAATCAATATAGTAAAATTGTTTGCATCTACATTATCCTGAAATCATTTATTCAAATATACATTTTTGTGTTGTACGACTCAAGGGTTAGGATGGTCAACTCGTAATACTTTTTCAACAAAAATTATATCTACGTTGAAAAATGTTACACTTTTATTTTTATTATTTTGTAAAGTATGTTAGGTGTGCATGAAATTATGCAAATTATTAAAGAAAGTGTAATGTTCCGTTGTTTATTTGACTGATTGGTAATTGATACAATTATTATCTAACTAGTACAACATCCGTGTATTACACGGGTGCTTGTTAAAAAATTATTCTTAAATTTTAAAATAAATGAGAAAACTATATCAAATTTAGTTTACTTTTTTACAAAAAAAATATATCGTTATATATTTTAGAATGATATGTGTTACTTATGACTTACATGTGTTATATTATATTAGTTTTTATAACTTATATCATATAACTACTTGAAATATAAATATATTAGTTGATAAATAATTTTATTTTTCTAATTAATATTAAAAATAATTTTATTATTGTCATAAAGATAAATATAAATTATTATTTTTATGCATACAATATGGATGTTAAATCGAAGCTCATCAAAAGAAGATTAATTTGATATATTATATATGTAAAACTGATAAAAAATACAAAAGTTATTAACTTTTAAAATATATATACAATTCAATAGTTATAATAAGGAATGATATTAAAATGCTATTAATATATGTAACATGACAAAAAATAATCAATATATTTATGGTAATCCGAACCTAATTATTTTTGGTTTGGAATTAAATTAAAATTATACAAGCCTAACAACGAAGCATGTAATTTTGCCACATAAAATTCTGAAGCACCAGAAGCAGCCACGTAGGCTCAACGCCTTCTGAATTAATATAGAGGGGCGATTCATATAAATAATGACATTTTTGGTGCAGTAAATAAAATTTTTTCCTAATCCAATCAAAACTCTTAACAAAAACAGCAAACAGCCATAAATCGAACTCAAACACGAGCCGTCTCTCGAAATTTCTAATCCTATATATACCAAACAAAAGCCGCAAAAACAGCCACAACCGCACTCGCACCAGAGTTGTATCCAAAGATTCCTTCTTTACAACACTGCACACACTTTTTTATATCCCCAATTTTCCCCTCTTTCAATCACTAGGGTTTCAACTCCGATCAATTTCCAATTATTCTCGCCATTTCGAAATCAAGCGCCGTCTCGTCATTTCGAAATCAAGCGCCGGCCAAGACGCCTTGTGCAGTCTTGGCGCTTCTAATCATCTCTCTTTCTATTCGGTCCTCTGCCTCGGCCTCTCATTACGGAAGATTTGAATATTACGACAGAAGGGCAACAAAGAAAGGGGCAAAAAACCAGGATATGGGAGGTGTATTGGTGTGGCTGCTCTTCTTCTTCATAGCTATTATTCTTCTAGTTATGGTCGTTTTCCAGGTTATATATTACCCCTAAATACCATAATTGTATGCTTGTGCTTTTCTATGTTGGTTTAGCCTCTTTTATCTAAAGACGCTCTGGTTTGGAGAAAGATAGAATTTTTAATTTATTAGCTCTTTTCGTTGGGTGATGTTGTACAAAATATTCTTTTGTTGGGGTGAGTTGAAAATTGAATCTTTGGGCCAAAACAAGTCGGGGGGCTTTACAATGTCGAATTTTTAATTTATTAGATCTTCTGTTTGGCATTTGTGATGCTCTTTGAAGAAAGTATGGCTCTGAACCAGTTGAATTAGGAGTGATATTTTGGGTAATAATAATAAACTGGATAGGCTATTTCCATGTGCCCGATATACCAATGTTGCTATTCTGGTGTCCCACGAAAATAAACTTGTTACGGCATCTAGTGTGTAATCGATGTTCCATTAACCGCTATCTTTTTTTCTGAATTAGTGTTTAACGGTGGGTAGAGAAATGAATGCAGAATTAATAAGTCATTTGGTCTTGAATGGAAATCCAATGTACTAACTAATTTGAAGGAGTATGCTTTCAAGTGTGGTTTTCATAGAGCATATTTAGGAGAGTAGTTTGCAGTGTGGTGAATTGCAATTTTCATTCATAGCTCAAGTGTTTGCCGAATGTTGGAGAAAAGCCTGAACCTTTTTGTTGTAATTGTGGCTTTTTGATGTCATTCTAGTTAGTGTAAAATGTTTTTTTTTTTTTTTTCCCAGCCCTTGCGATATAAGTTTGTCTGTTTACACTTTACATTTCATTTTATTCACATAGTATGTTGATTCCTTAACATTAATGCTCATGTATTGCAGCTTATGTGCTTGGCGGATTTGGAGTTTGATTATATCAATCCTTACGACTCAGCCTCTCGAATAAACAAAGTTGTTTTGCCAGAATTTATCACCCAAGGAGTTCTATGCTTCCTCTTCCTTATAACCGGGCATTGGTTTATGTCACTTTTATGTGTTCCATACCTGTACTACAATGTCAGATTGTAAGATCCCTTATCCATGCTTCAAACGTTGAGTCAAATTAATCTTGCGAGAAATATTATGTTCACAAATCATATGTTGCGAGAAAAATTATGTTCACAAATCATATGTTGCTTCGTACTTATTGAGATTACTAGTACTACTGCATTTTATAGGAAGGACTATGCGTTTTTACATGGTCACATATTTACATTTTGCTATCATAGCAGTAGGTTAAGCAAAAGATTAAAAATTTAAACCAAGTCGGGGAAGCATATTTGAAACAAACTCATGAATGAAAGAAAGTCGAATCCCTTTGTGTGAAGGAATTGCAATGAAACATCTTAGCTTATGGCTGAGAATGAAATCTCTTCATGATAAAAAGTAGAGCCTTCAATCTTTTGCTTGAGAAATTTAAATTTACATATGAATGGGGCCTGCCGAAATGAAACTCCACTGACCCTTCTTGCATTTTCATGCCCGGTGTAAAAGTGCATCTATGATCATCTGATAATCTTAGTTCACTCACTTGGATAATATAATCTTTCCATATTAATGGTTTCTTGTGGGATAAAAATTGTTTGGCTATTGATGAAAGAGCAGCTGAGTCACAGAGTGGGAGATGCAGATAGGTAGCAGAAGTATATTTTGTATGAATTTTGTCGTGCATTTGGAATAATAAACTTGTATTAATTTCGATTAATTTGTTTCAAGATGATCTTTTAGCGATCAAATGAAGATTATCCTTTTTTTCTTGGGCTGTTATTTCTCATGTCAGGTATCTTCAAAGACAGCACCTTGTTGATGTAACCGAGATTTTTAACCAGCTCCATTGGGAAAAGAAACAAAGACTTTTCAAGCTAGGTTATATTGTGCTTCTTATCTTCATGTGCTTGTTCTGGTTAGTGAACTTTGCATCCTCGCCCTCAATTACTATGACATTTTGTTTTAATTAAGTTTCTCATTCAAGCCTCGAGAGAAATACACAATCATCTCAATTCTTTTTCTTTCTATTTTTCTGTAGGATGATTTACAATGCTCTCGAAGAAGATGATTAGTCGTTTTCTTTTTCTTCCCTTACTTCGGTGGCACGAGCATTGCAAACTGGCGCATAGCTTTTCACCGGCTATTAAGGTTAAACTTATGTTCTTGTAAGTTGAAAGTTGGACTTGGTGTTGGGAGTCGCAGACCCCGCTAGTCCGAGTGTTGATTGATGGTTGTGAATCTGTATTTTGCTTTTATGCTAAATTATACTTGATTGATAGCACAATTCAAGTTTTTTCTTTCCACACATTCTATGAAATTGGTCGACCTGTCATTTTTTTTTTTTTAATATAAATGTATAATTATGCTATGAAATATCATAATATTGAATAACCACTTTTTGCACACTAATATATTATTATTATTATGTCACTGATGGAATGAGTGACATGTATACAGACTATGGAGTTATTCACAATTTTATGTACTGACACATGTTAAATGTACATTTATTGCAGGATACGTGTAAATATATCATTTGTGAATAACTATGGATAGCTCTATAAGCCGAGCTATCTGATGGCTCCATAGCCAAACTGAACATGTATATATAAGTTGTGTCACAATTGCATTGATAATTTTAGAAAGTGGGAAAGTAAACTGATGATATCAATAAGTTCATGATGGAATTAGTTTCTTGAGGGGTTTGGGTAATTAAAAAATCAAGAAAAAATGTCTCAGATCTTAAGATATGAAAAAGAACTTAATCAAGAATAAAAAATTTTAAATATAAAAGAAAAATGTAATAATTGAATCTGATGTAATATAAAAGTTATTAAATGATGATTTTCAGTTATAGTGGACGAATGGTATTTTTGTGAAAAAAAAATATTTTACATGTCTAATTTTCAACTGAGATTTTGAAAAAAATATTTCACACACATCAAATTAAATATAAAATTATATAATATAAAATACAGTTTTTTATATTAATATAGTTTTTTATTAATTGAGTACCACATGTTAGCATTGCTATTGTTGGGGGACTTTGTCTCTAACGAATGAATTTGAACACAAAAACCCAGACTAGCAATTCTATCTAGAAATTAAAACAGGCGGTTTTGGTACGAAAGTTGACTCAACTATGGAGCCAACTGTTAGTTTCATAGCAAAACCGAAAAAACAGGCAACCCAACATAAGAACTATTTTCAATTTTTCTCTTTCCCTCCAAAAGTGATATTCCCTTCACTATGTATGTACAAATCCAAACTAACTTCACCTAGTTTAGTCAATGTCTGTAAATTTCATTCACTTTGTATGTACAAATGCCCATTAATGCAATCAAGAAGACAATCCATCTCTATATGACTCTTTCACCTCAAGACTTAATCAGCCCAAGATAATTCAGGTTCTTCCTTACCATGCTCCCGATCGAAAGCAGAATGGCGTCGCCTGTCCCCATCCGTGGCCCCTCCCTCTCGACCTTCCAACTACACTCGGAGGGCGTTTCCGTAACTTTCAAATCCCCAAAACCGACCTTTTCCCTCACCAACTCTACAATCTCAGGGTCGACCGTGTTCCCTACTGCATCCGTCACGTAGAATACGTTTCGAGCCGTATCCCAAGTGGTCGATATCTCGGCACGTGCAACGCTCAGCCCATTTTCACGAAAAGCCTGCGTCACGTCCGCTAGAAGCCCGTTTCTATCGGCCGCACAAAGGTCAAGCCTCACGCCCTGCATGATCAATAAAGGCGGGAAAAAACATTTAAATAATGATTAACCAATATTATTCAAAAAAAAAAAAAGAGGACATGTTAAAAAGAAATGATACCTTCGATGACCTACGTTCCATCGAAGCCTGCAGACAGAGAATCACGTGCTCCTTTTCGGCCTCCGAGCTAATTGGTGTCCCGTCCGTATGCCTGATGAAAAATTCCTGAATCGAAACAATAACTTAAATCACTAACACATCAAAAATACAAAAGTTTAACAGCTACAAAATTTATAGATAAACACATATTTACATTTCAAAAAACAACTAGTAACAACCAGACAAAAACAACTATACAACCGAATCCAAAAAGAGTTCTACACGACAAAATGTCATAGCACAAAAGTTATAAGTTCAAATTTTAAAATAATGATACTTAAAAGGGAAAGCACCATAGATGCCGAATCCTCCGATGTATCGACCGTGGCATGGAAAACGACGTAATCCATGTCGGTCAACGCGCAAACAACATCAAACAAGAGCTTGTTCTGGTCCTGACACTGAACACTGACGACCGAATAATCTTTCTCCAAATAGTTCCTAACAGAGACACCCGGGCACGAACCGGGCCCACCCGAGGCCCCCGTGTCGTAGTCCCGGTCGGCAAACATCAACTGGTGCAGCCTCCTTTCCGTATGAGTCACGGCAGACGAAACCGAGGTTTTCACGCTCCGAGTCGTCTCATCGTCCCCCTTAAGCACGTTCCGTAAAACGGACCCAATCTTGTCCAATTTATCCTCGTCTTTTATCGGGCAGCCCGTGTGACAATCCTTGACGAAAATCAGGGACGCGACCCGGCCATTGTGGGCCCACACCTTGGCTTCGACCACATTGCAGTCCATGTCGGTAAGAACGGCGAAAACCTCGGACAAAAGCCCGACCCGGTCCGTGCCGGTTATCTCCAGGGCTGTCAGACCGTTGGCTCTCGTGGGCCGGCCGTAGTGAACAGTCTCGAGCGACTGCAAAAAAACAGGGTAATTCATTAATTTTTTTTGTTTAATTTTTTTGGGATAATGTTTATGTAATTACCTGCTGAATGCGGCCAAGGACACTGTCGTCGGTTAGTTTGTTCCCATTGAAGTCGGTCACATGAAAAACTGCCGGAATTTAATGAGAATAAAAACAGAGTTAGAAATCAATCATTTTTTACTTGTAAGAATAATTTTGAAGAGCAGTTAAGGCGGCGCGTGGGGGCCACTCACCGTCCATGAACCACCGGCCGTCGGAGCAGATGTAAGCCTTCTTGATCGACAGGTTGAGATCCGTCAGGACTTGGACGGCTTCCAGAAGGATCCCATGTTTTCTGGCACTATCAATCTGCAACAATAACTAAATAAAATTAAATCAAATACTACAAAATACAGACAAAATATTCGAATAAAAATCGATTGGGTCTGGAATATTAAAAGGAGGGAGGTTCTACTGTCTCGTTATGGAACCATTCAGTCGTTGTTTGTAACCGTTAGATCAACTATCCACGAATAATTTAACGGTTACAAATCCCGACGGAATGGTTCTCTAGCATTTTCCATTAAAGTTACCATTAGCCTGGTTTCGTTGGAGTCGCTGCCATTGTCGATAATGACCCTGAAAGATGTTGGCTCAAATGCAATGTAAAAACCAGTAAATCATCAACAAATGAAGGGCTAAGATGGGAATTAAAGAAGATGACCTTGGTGTGGACATTCGAATAACGAGCTTTTCATATTCATCCAAATACGGAGGCCACTCTTTATTACTCAAATCACAACTCATATCTTTAAAAACACTCAAAAAAAAAAGAAGACTTTGAATGACAGAAAAATCTCTCTCGAGTAAATGGGACTTTTTTTTTGGTAGCTAGTAACGGTATCCGGAGCTATACTCGATTAATCCATTGCACACCTGATAGTGGTGGATGAATCTCTAAATGAAAATTTTCTGAGTAAATGAGACGTTTTGCAAACTCGTTTCTCTCTCTAGAATTTCCTTAAATTGTACGATTTTTGGTGTTTTCTCTCTCTAAAAAACACAGATTACAATGACGGAACAATGCATGCGCTCCGCTCTACTTTGGGTCTTTTCCTAATTATGTCTGTATTTTTTTTTTTTTTTGGTACATGGACTTTCCGGTTTTCGAATCCACAGGGGAACCGACTAATCCGGAATCGAGCCGGGTAGGACCACAAGGGCGGCAAAGCTCTCCCTCAAGAGTTTTAACACTGCTGCATTCCCAGGGCTCAAACTCGAGACCACTGGTTAAGCTGGAAGAAACCTAAGCCGTCTCATCCAAACGCTCTTGGGTTAATTCTTATTTCTATTCCTAATTAATCGGATTTCTTTCCATTATTTATTATTTACTTATTTTGTTGAATTTTTGAATTGTTAATAGGAGACAGTGTACTACCAAGATTTGGTACTTGGAACGATGTTTTATTTTCCTTAATTATTGTCTAATACTTCGATTTATTTCCTTAATAAACTGGGATTATTGAAGTAATATTATATTTTCTACATTTATACTTATATAAAAAAGCATTATATTTACTAGAATGAGTAGTAAAAAAGGTCAAAGTAATTAATACATTCTATTTCCATCAAGTATTTTATTTAACCAGTGCATACCTCGTGCGATGTACGTGATACATATAATAAATCAATTATTTTTATAGGACTTGTACGTCTAGACAAAAAAACAATATGCTTGGATCATCTATATTTCACATCTTTTAATAAGTGGCGTTTATTTAAGCAAAAAAAATTAACATGTTAATTAATATATAAATTCGCTAACACGTCGTACTAATATTTATTTGATTTTAGAATACATATTTATTCATTGATATAAGAAAAAAAAAATTATTTATTCTTGTTCACCATAAAATAATCAATTATTGTTTTATTATAAAATTTATAGTCATAAATGTCATTATTATTATTTATAAAAGTTATAGAAGTAGTTTTCTTTATGTAATGAATAAAATTTTGAGTATAAATGTTTACAAAATACACACACATGTTTTTTAGAATTCAATTTTCTCATAATAATTTTTTTTTTTTAAAAAAAAATGATTTAGCAATTGCCATAAAATAAATCCCTTACATAATCAAGAGATTTTTTCTAATTTTCATCTTTAGGCTTTATAGTTTATTTGACATACTATGCAATAGAAAAATATTTTACAATAAGTTCATTTTTTAACATAACAAAAAAAGTGATAAAAACACTATCATAGTTGACAATAATATACAAATGAATAACATGTCGAAATTTTAAAGAATAACTAATATAATTTTATTATCTAGCCATCAATAAAATCATTTAATGATGTGATCATTATCTTTTAAATGGTAAATAATACTAATTATTTTTAAAAAAATACGTAAAATCAATGCATAAATTAATAAAATTATTTAAGAAAAAAATCTTTAAGATCATATATGGATAGTAAATGTATATATGCAAGCATTTAATGCATATAGTAAAAAAATTTCAAATAAGGTATGCATTAAATGCGTGTTGACTTTTCTTGCTACTATTTTTGGTAAATAGATTGGCTTTTTATATATATATATAATATATATATATAGATTATTTTATTTAGTTGTTTTATCTCATAACACATTTTCAATACAACTTACCGTGATTTTTCTATTGTGATTAAAAACCAAACTTTACGTTTAAAATCTTGTAAAATTATTATTATTATTTTTATAAAGCACATATTATTTGTTAAAAAAATTGTATATATATATATAATACACATCACAGTACCATGGTAGATGATTTAAATTTCAACCGATCAAAATGCCAATGATTTAAATTTGAACACATTGACCAAATGTCTGGATGATTTAAAATTGAGCCAATCAGAATTTATTTAAATTTGAACACACCAGAAATTTTATGTACTTTTTATTTATAAATAAATTGAAAGTGGTATTAAATGGCTGTTATATAAACTATTTTAATATATTTGCAATGTTAAAGTTTGAATGAATAATTTGTAATGTTATTCATAATGTTTGTGACTTATGAGATACGAACACATAACTCCATATATACATATTTGCCAGAGCGAAGCTTAATAATTTTTTAGACTTAACGTTGATTAAAAGAGGTAGAAAATAGATAATAACATTATTACTTTTAAGACTTAAACGGACAAGGCTGTGAAAATAACTCATTTAATATCTTTGTCCCGTGCATCGCACGAGGTACGTACTAGTTTATACAGAAAGGGTACTATATATAATATTAAATTATTTCTTTACGTGAAAGGTAATTGTCGGGTATTATTATTATTATTTTTGTTTTGGGTACAACGGAAGAGCCTAACGATTAACGTTACCGAGTATCGACACACGTTTCTCGAGTATGAAACTCCACTAAGATCATGGTACAACCACGGCCGTACCCCATGTAGTGGATCAAGAAAGAAGTGATAAACCAATGATGTTTCTGCACCGAATGAAGCCAAATGGCCAGCTGCGAAATTCGCTTCACAGAATGCATGTTGCACCTTGACCTGCCAAGTGCGACCTAAGAGTTCTTTGATGCCCAAAATAAGGTAGGTGTGCACCCCCGACACCTCAGCAGAGGATTTAGAGAACTCCACGACACTCGCACTATCGCCTTCCGCTTCCACATGCAGAAACCCCAAGTCCCACGCCAAGCGAAGACCCTGGAATAATCCCCATAGCTTCGTCGCCATGATCGAGCAAAACCCAATCGTCATTGTGAAACCTCCAAGCCAACGGCCTTGCTCGTCACGGATAAGGCCCCCAGCGCAACACATGCACGGCGTCCCATTGAAAGAGTCATCAAAGTTGACCTTGACCCAGCCCTGCGAAGGCCGCTCCCACCTTATCCACCGTGGGATCCTCAAATGGCCTGACCCGCCAAGCTTCATATCGCACAAAAGAACCGTCTTCAGCCCTTTAACATATGTGGTGATTTCGCGCATATCACTAACCACGTCCCTTATTTTCCCATGAAAGAGTTGTTCATTCCTCCACTTCCAAAGTTTCCACACCACAACCTCAAAAGTACGATCCCAATTAGCCTCTCCTATGCCTGAGTTAGGCGCCAGGTTTGAAAAAATCCACGGTTCCAACTGCCATGCAAAGAAAGTAGCGTGATACTCACCAGACAGCAACCTCCTCCATATTGCAGCAGCCATCGGGCAGTCGCGAACCACGTGCAGTGCTATCTCCTCGGCCTGGAAGCACACCCGCCAAAGAGCATCGACCGTCAGGTGTCGACATCTTCTCTCCAGTGAGAGGTCGATTCTTCACGAGAAGCCAAAGGAAAGTCCTTATACGTTGAGGGCCTGGCCACCTCCATATTGCCCGCCATAATGTGCACGAGCCCGAAGGATCCACCCTGCTACTAGGTCATATGCCGACTTGGTGGTAAACTTGCCTGTGGACGAGTACCCCCAATACAAACGGATAGCCACATCAAACTCATAATAAGTGACAACAAACAATTTATATGAACAATTATTCGTAAAGGTATAATCCATAATTAATAGCATGAAACATGATCAAAATAGCTATGTTTGCCAGACAATAAAGACAATAAGCTAGGTTATAGCTTATTTGGTAAGCTTATAAGCTCCTTGTATTCAAATAAGTCTTGTTTGGTAGAACGAACTTTTTTAAAAAGATCGAGCTTATTTGGTAAGCTTCTTTAGGTAGCTTTTCAAATAAGCTAGTTTAATTTTTTATTGCATCTAACTTATCAGCTAATTTTACCAAACACTTTTATCATATAAGTTAGTTTTTCAGCTATAATTAAGTCATAAACTCGAAAATTACATACCCATAATTAAACTACTTGTTCGAATTTGTGGGGAAAAATTCCAAATAATTGATGACTATCATTCAACAACTGTTAATAATCTTCAGTTATATACTATGTAAACAAGGAGTCAATTAAGAGTACAATTCTTTGGAGAATTATTTGTATCTATGTAAACAAAAGCATCTGCATCATCAAAGTACCACTCCCTCATTGCATCTGCAATTGTCTGCAAAGTACAACACATACAGATATGAAAGTTATAAAGATTAAATGATGATTAATAATTTTGTCATATTTTGGATAAAATTCAAACATCAACCTAAAGTTATAATTAATAAAAGTGAAAGTAATTAACAAAATCTTTTACTTTATTTTCCAAGATGTCGGAAAACTTCCAGCCATCATTTGCGAGAATATGGTCGTGTCGATAGCAGTTATGGACAAACATTCCTCTGGAGTGCGAATGCACCGAGTTTTGGAGTGTTTGTATGAACGTCGTGTGAAATTCTGAAATTAACAGTAGTAAAATTGATCATGGTCGTATTTTTCGAATTTAACGGTATTGAAGAGAGTTAAAAGGCTCGTCAATTACCCTGCATTTTCTCCAGCTGAGTCGAGTTGCATAACGATAGGCTCACGGTCACGCAGTTGTACCATTCTCTTCCCCCACCACCAACATATGGTGTATATTGGCTTTGTACCTGCAATTCACAAAAAAAATCAATTGCAACATATATGTTATATTTATACACATTGTTGAATTTAGATTTCAAAATGTTTAAGACTACCTTATAATTAACCAACTTACTTGGAATGCATCAAATGACGACTCAATGAGAAACAGAGGAGTTTGAATATCTTCAACAATATTTTCAGGAAAAAGGCACTGTTATTAAAATAAATCAAATTGTTACAATTCAAACTAACCGAGCTTTTATTATTATTATTATTATTATTATTATTATTATTATTATTGTTATTATTATTATTATTATTATTATTATTATTATTATTATTATTATTATTATTATTATTATTATTATTATGTCTCACCAAACCAGGATTCATACTAGACCTGCAGGATTGAGGCAAAAAATCTTCTAGTCCCTGGAGAGACATATTTACACATGTACAGGATCAAGAATCTAATATTTATTTTATTATTTATTAAAGTATTTCAATAATTAAAATGTGCTGTGTTAATTAACTAAACTAAATTAACTTGAACATTGACATGAATATGAAATTAGAGGGTCACATTACATGTAGCTGAACGATATGCTCGAAATAAGTTTCTCTTTGCGTCGCCCCGGGTAGATTTGGTCTAACAATTAGTAACAGTTTATTTCAAAATTTGTAGTTTGTCCAATATATATTGAGCTGTTCAATATACAGAACAGTTAATTACACGAGACTTACGCTTGCAAGAAAAAACCCGAGTCGGATACACATTTAATTTTTCTCGCGTCGGGTACAAGTAAACGGAGGGTATCACAGTTGAGAATTGTCGCTAAGCCCCCGGCCGAGCCCCCAGAAAGTATAATCTGCATAATGTTACATCATATAATTTGATTATGTTGTTAGATAAATATGAAATAAAATTTTTATATAAAATAAATGGAGGAGATGAAATACATTATCCGCAAAATTCATCCCTTTCGCGACGAGCTCTTGGATTATAGCTTTGAAAATTCTGGAGCCCCGAAAGTAAAGTTTGTTTTGCTGCAAAAATCAGTGTAAAGTTATACAAGAGGACTAAAAACGACACTGAATCAAACTAACAGGACTAAATTGCAATTTTGCCTAATAACATATATACTTACAGGATCAACATACTCAACATCTCCAAAGAAAGACGATCCGTCGCAGTACAGAAGAGCAACCCGGTTCCAATTGTAAAAATCTGAAATTTAATTTCAAAAACATATTAATTAACCATGCATGCATGAATATATATTTATATTCTAATCTATAAATTACGAACAAAATATATATTATTTGTTTCAAGTCGTTTAACGATATATTTGCGCATGTAATTTTAACCCGGATTCACTGCTGAGTTGACGTCAAGTATCCCTGTAAATCGGAACTTATCCCTGTACAGGCTGCTTCCTTGAAAAGTTCCGGCTCTCGTAGCACAATCGGCTATAACCGAACACCATGCGCCTCCCTGACATATAAATAAATAAATATAAGAATTCATAAATCAATAGATAGTAGAAATGAAGAAAAACAATACTTTTCTTTTTAGAAAATTAATAAACCTCGATAAAAATCACCCAACTACTGCTTCCCGAGCCAGAGCCCTGATCCATAGCGTAGCTCGGTGGACTACCGTCTAAACAAACTGTCGAAAAATTTTGTTTGCATCACATTTTGTGCACTTCAGAGTAAGTTACATAAAAAAATAACAATAATAACGATTACTGTTATTGTTATTGATACTAATGAACTCAAACATTGTTACCTGCTCCGATTGCTGTAGCACTTTCGAGTATCGTTACATTAACCTCTGTGTCTGTTTTGACTTCGAGTAAGATAATGAAAAAACATGTACTGAACATTAAGGTTAAAGAAACACGATTCATTGTTCTATATACGAAAGCGTTGTTTGGAAAGAGAGAAAAGCGTTTATCACAATAATTTTCTAAGGACAATTATCGCGTTCTCTAATATTTGCACTGTTTTTTGGTTCTCTTGGTGCATCTCCTTGAACATCGTTACACTCCTTTATATAGAGAACCGGAGTTCCTCGTCTCTTGCCACGTGGCAGCACTAGACCACGTCTTTTTTGCGGCTTATGTAGGTTTCATGGACCCTGAACCGCCACGGACCTAAGTTGTGCTGGGTCCATGATCCGTGCCTGGCTCGACTTGGATCTGAGCCCGCCCAAATAAAATAAAAAAGAAAAAAAATTAAAAATAATGTGATTTTCCCGAGTCGAACCTGACCCTGGACGATCTGGTTGAAATTCGAGTCGGGCCTCGACCTGTGGTTAACGGGTTTGATCGAGCTGGATGGCCCGTTGCCACGTCTGCTAATAAGCAGCGAGTTTAGACAAAATAATGCTACTTAACAACGCTACTATTTTTTGAAAGTGTTTTGCTAAATCTAGCTAGTTGATAACTTTAGTTTATAATTTTTAAGTAATTTTGATATTATAGCTAATAGCTTATTAATTATGTCCGAAAAGCTACTTTACAAGCTAGCTGAAATAAAAATTTTGATATGAATTTATGAGATAAGATGTATTGTTTTATAAAAATAATATAAATATAATTTAAAAAATTATAACTAACTCAACAATTGATTGAGTGATATAACAATTGGGCCGATGAACCGGTGATTTAGAGGCCAGCCCAGGTCAATCAGAATTCGAGTTTTAAAACGTTGCTATTTTGGACCAATAAATGTGGACAAATCAAAATTGCAAAAGACGTTTGTTGGGCCGTCTATGACTATGTATTTACTGGTGTACTTTAGAGATAACGTGTGACACTTTATATCTGATTATCTTCCTTTCGGTCACATAATATGAAATTTAAAACCAACAAAGGTTGGCTCAAGTGGTAAGCAGTTTGATGTCGCTTAAGTATAGGTCTCGGGTTCGAGTCCTTGTGAATGGAGAAAATTCTTGTTGGGAGACTCACCCACCATTACCAGATGTGCGACTCGGATCGACCAATGAATTATTCGGCTACCAAAAAAAAAAAAAAAATTAAAATATAAGGAATTATCTAGTGCACTTGACAATACATATTTTAAAAAATTTTCCTCCTTTTGTTCACGTGTTAATTTTAAATCGATAATCGATGAGTACCAAGAAAAAAAGTGAAAAAAAAAAGAAATAAAAATTAATTATCAAACTTTTTTTTTCCTTTTCAAGATTCATGAACAAGGAAAGGAAATAGTAATCTCACGGGATTTTTTCATGTGAATTGGCCTAAACATTTTAGATATAACATTAACAACAAATGTGCATTTATATTATGAATCTTATACTTATTTTTGTATTGTTATTTAAAGTATGATAATTTCAAATGAATTCTATAAATATACTTAGAAAAAATGTATGTTAATCTAATGATATAGTAACGGATATTGGAGCGGGATCGGAGTATACATATTGGCATTGATAGATTTGTAAAAATTGACCTGTGGAAGAACTTTACGTTATGATTCTAGATTGTAAGGAACATACCTTTGAGTCAGATTTCGAGTATAAGAATCTCGGGGTAAGGAACACATTGATATATTAAGAACGAGTAAATTATTTTATCTTTTTGAAACATGAGTGATGTTGTTAGCTCGAGCTTGAGGATAAATACAATGTTAAGTGTGTGAGAGTTGTTTAGTTGTTTTTGTGGTTATTTTATGTGTTTTTGAGTTGCTTAGTTGTGCTCAATTCAAAAAATATTTTGATATTGCCGGAAAATCATCGAGAAACTCGCCGAAAAACTCTCCAAAATGTTCCCGACTGGTTGGCTTGGTTGGTGTCCAAGAGCACCGTGAGCTAATGCACCGTCTACTGTCGACCAACGCACCCACCAGCGCTCGTTGTGCCCCTGAGCGCCTATCTCGTCCGCCAAGCACTGAATCAACATCTATTACTTTGTGATTCTATATGTTGATTTTTGGTGATTCGTAATTTTATTTATCAAATTTTAGTGTTTTGGTCTTGTCTATGTAGATTTGAACTTTTATCCATACATACTACTTTAAAATTTAATAATATTTTTTATTTGTTATCAAGTTTTGATATATCAAATTAATCATCGTATGACGATCTTTGATTTGGTATCTATATTGCATATATAATCTACCTCTATGAATAAAAATTATATTATATATATATATATATAATATTCTAATTAAAAAACATAAGAAAAATATTAATTATTATATATTTAATTACGAAGTCTATTATAGAATATGAATTAAAAAAATATATTATAAATAGGACGAACAAATCTAGTGACATTTCAAAATAAAAAAGAATTAAAATCTATTTCATAATTTAAATAAAACAGTTTATTTATTTTTAACTTTCTAGTATAAAATTTTTTGGATCAAAAAGAAAATCGCATGTTGGATCGAATTTGTGTTGGAACTCTCATTGGACGTCGTCACTCATCTTATCTGAATTCAATCCCAAGACGTGAAATCTGCGTTGGAACTCTCATATTGCACGGCATGTAAAATTTCTCGAGTTTGTTAGAATATATTTTGTATATATGGTTATAATATATTTTGTATATATATTGTAAGATTAGATTTAGGCTCATTATGTTCCTATATATATGTGTACATTTCTTTTGAATAATATAGAACACAGTGGCGGACGCAGAATCAGCCTGGGCAATTTTACGTGAAATGAAAGAGAGTAAGGTGGTGTTGGAACATTGGTTGGTTGACGACGATCTAGTTCTATTTTCTTCTTTTTTTTTTTTTTTTGATAAAGAATATATGAAATTCCTAAAATATTAGAATTAAATTTTTATTCAAAATCACTTTATATTGGTTTAGGACGTATAATGAAAAAACGTGGAGTGTATGATTGTTTGTCAAAAAACAATTGATATGATAAGTTGTGAAAATCACGATAATTTGAATGGCAAAAAGTAATTTTTCCTATAATAAAAAATTCATAAAAAAGCTGATTTCTTAAAAAAAAATTAATATTGAGTGTACAAAAAAATTAATAGTGAGAAAAGCTAAGTACAAATTTTGTTGACATGATGGAACAACCCACGTGCTAAAGTGAGAAATCTGGTTGGGCCCCCTCCTCCAAAATGTAATTAAAAGGGCCCACAGAAGTTGAGTGTGGTCTTATCTTCTAAAGTGCTATATGTTGAATTAAAAAATGAAGTTCTACATCACTCTTCTTCTTCCCTGTGCTTCTTCCTCTGCGCAACAATGGTTTTTTGCCCTTTTCTACCAAACAATTCTATTAAAGCTGTTATAACTTATCTTTAGCCGAAAAAATTCAGCCTGGGCAACTGCCCAGGCTCGCCTATATGTAAATCCGCCCCTGATAGAACATATATTTTCCCCACTTTCTTATATGGTATCAGACTAAGTTTATAGTCCAATATAAGGTTAGTATTTTTCGCTCGTCTCCGGCCGTCTTCTATTCTCACCTCCCAGACCATCCTCTCCGGCATCTTTCGGCGAGCCGTCGGTCAAAATATGGGCCCGTTATGAGGCGCGTGGGACCCACACTCGCCGGAACAGTGCGACAGTGCTGGCAGCTTCAGCCGGAGCGTGAGATTCACCCCCAGCTCCGATCGCCGTGATTTTTCAGCCGTAGACTCTTCTCATCGGCGGCTACCTCTTGGTGTGGTCGGTTTTGGTTTTCGTGCCGTTTTTAATTTCGGCCTTTTACTGCTATTTTATCCGGTTTGTGATCCCGTTCGTGATTTTCTTTTGTCTTTGTACTGTTGCTGGTTGCTGGTGCTTCTTTATTTTTTGGATATGGATTCTTCTATGGTGGTCTGCCACATTTGCCATGTTCAGGGTCATATTGCTCCATTTTGTCCTACGGTGGTATGCCACATTTGCCATGTTCGGGGTCATATTGCTACATATTGTCCAACCAGATCACACCGTTCGAGAGGTTCATTCTCTCGACATCATGGGTCTTCCTCTACCTCCACTTCTTCTGTTACAGCGGCTGTCACTACTGAGCCTCAGCATTCGTCTTACACTCTTCAAGACATAGAGGCTATTCTCAAACAGGTTCTTCTTTCCAATTCTTCTATGTCTGCTACCGGAGGTAAATCACATTGGTATTTTGATTCTGGCTGTTGCAATCACATGACCTCTAGCCCGCAGCTTTTGTCTTCCTCGTCTTCCGTAACCTCTTTACCTCTTATACATACTCTAATGGTACTCTTATGAATGTTACTCACACTGGTTTGATTTCTTCCCCTTCCTTGCATCTTCCCGACACATACTGCATTCCTGACTTGGCCTTGAATCTTATTTCTGTTGGTCAATTGGTTGACCAAGGTCTTAATGTTATATTTACATCTTCTGGTGTTCAGGTTCAGGATTCACAGACGGGACAGCTTCTCGGGAAAGGTCGCAAGACGGGCCAGTTATTTGAGCTTGAGTCACTTCATGTCCCTCGTTCCTACGCTTTTTCTGCTTCTGCCACCGATAGTAAGTCTAGTTTCCAGTGGCATCTTCGTCTTGGGCATGCGTCTTCGAATAAAGTTCGTTCTTTATATAATAAGGGTCTTTTGGGTTCAGGTCATTTTGAGTCTTTTAGTTGTCTTCATTGCAAACTTGGGAAACAACCGGCTCTTTCTTTTTCTGATAGTTTGTCAACTGCAGATAAACCTTTTGGTTTGGTACATTCTGATATTTGGGGTCCTTCTCCTATTGCTTCTCTGAGTGGTTTTCGGTATTTTGTTATTTTTTGTTGATGATTTTTCTCGTTTTACCTGGATCTATTTTCTCAAAAATCGTTATGAGTTGTCCAGCATATATGTTCAATTTGCTAAAATGATTCTTACACAATTTTCTTGTCCTATAAAGGTCTTGCGTACTGACAATGCTCTTGAGTACAAAGATTCTACTTTTTTGAAATTTCTTTCTGATCAGGGCACCTTAGTTCAACGTTCGTGTCCATATACTTCCCAACACAATGGACGAGCTGAACGTAAGCACCGTCACATTCTTGATACTGTTCGTGCTCTTCTTCTTTCTGCTCAGTGTCCTGATCATTTTTGGGGTGAGGCAGCCTTGACTGTTGTTTATGCTATCAATCGGTTACCCTCATCAGTCATTAGGGATGTCAGTCCTTTTGAGAGATTGTACGATCAGTCTCCTGATTATACTCAATTACGTCCTTTTGGTTGTGCTTGCTTTGTTCTCATTCCATCCCATGAGCGGACCAAATTAGAACCCCGAGCTCATCTGTGTTGTTTTTTGAGTTATGGGGTAAAACAAAAAGGATTTAGGTGTTGGGATCCGATTTCTAATAGGTTGCGTATCTCGCGTCATGTTACCTTTTGGGAGCATACTACTTTTTCCTCCTTGTCTAAGTTCCACATTCCGTTTGATTCGGCGTCTCCTTTATTCATGTCTATTACTTCAGATCTTTTTCCAGATACAGATACAGGTTCTGACTCTCAGCTCATTGACACGCCTATCATGCCTCCGTCTTCTGAAGTGGCTCCACCTGTGCATCCTGAACCGACGGTTCGTAATGAGCCCTCTTCTGGTTCTGTACTTTTGCCAGCTATTGATCAGCGACGGTCGACTCGTGTAAGTCGTCCCCCTTCTCACTTACTTGATTATCATTGTTATTCGGCCATATTATCTCATCATGAGCCTAGGTCTTTTCGTGAGGCGAGTATTGATCCATTGTGGCAACAAGCTATGGCTGAGGAATTGCAGGCCTTAGACAAGACTCATACTTGGGATCTAGTTGATCTACCTGCTGGCAAGAAACCCATCGGATGCAAATGGGTTTACAAGATCAAAACAAATTCAGATGGGTCTATTGAGCACTACAAAGCTCGTCTTGTTGCTAAGGGGTACTCACAGGAGTATGGCATAGATTATGAAGAGACATTTGCACCGGTTGCTCGTCTTACTACTGTACGCTGTTTACTTGCAGTTGCTGCAGTTCGTCGATGGTCACTTTTACAGTTAGATGTTAAGAATGCCTTCTTGCACGGTGCATTATCTGAGGAGGTTTACATGACTCCTCCTCCTGGGTTCTTGTCCTCTGGGAAGGTTTGTCGTCTGCGCCGAGCTTTGTATGGCTTGAAACAAGCGCCTCGTGCCTGGTACGCCACGTTCAGTTCTGCATTATTTCAGTTTAGTTTCACTACGAGTGATCACGATTCTGCCCTATTTCTTCGGCGCTCTTCATCTGGGATCATTGTTTTGTTGCGCTATGTTGATGATATGATCATCACGGGGGATGATGTTTCGGGTATTTCAGACTTATAGGATTATCTTCGACAGCATTTTGAGATGAAGAGTTTGGGTCGTCTTCGCTATTTTATGGGTCTTGAGATTTATGATTCCTCTGATGGCTTCTATTTGTCTCAAGCCAAGTATGCCTCTGATCTTCTTGCTCGGGTCGGTCTCACTGATTGCCAGACAGCTTCCACGACTCTTGATTATGATATTCGTCTTACTCCATTGGATGGTTCTCTTCTTGAGGATCCTATGTTATATCGCCAGCTCGTTGGGAGTTTGATATATTTGACTGTCACTCGGCCTGATATAGCTCATGTTGTTCATATTGTGAGTCAGTTTATGGCTGCTCCGAGAACCACGCATCATTCTGCTGTGTTGCACATCCTTCGCTATGTGAAGGGTACCTTATTGCATGGTTTACATTTCTCGGCCAGTTCTTCCTTGTCCCTTAGCGGCTACTCTGATGCAGATTGGGCTGGAGATCCTACCGATCGTCGCTCCACTACCGGGTATTACTTCTTCTTAGGTGATTCACTTGTCTCTTGGCGCAGTAAGAAGCAAACCTTGGTTTCCCGTTCGAGTGCCGAGTCTGAGTATCGTGCTCTTGCTGATTCCACCGCAGAGCTATTATGGTTGCGTCGATTACTTGCTGATCTTGGTGTCCCTCAGTCATCCTCTACTGCTCTTCATTGTGATAGCCAGTGCGCTGTCAAGATGTCTTATAATGATACGTTTCATGAGCGTACCAAACATATTGAGATTGATTGTCATTTTATTCGCCAGCATGTTACCCATGGGACTGTACGACTTGTTTCCGTCTCCTCTTCGGATCAGATAGCGGATGTCTTCACGAAGTCTCTCCTTCTCGGTCGCTTTTGTTTACTTCTTAGCAAACTCAAGTTGATATCTACTATACCACCTTGAGTTTGAGGGGGGGTATTAGAATATATTTTGTATATATGGTTATAATATATTTTGTATATATCTTGTAGGATTAGGTTTAGGCTCATTATGTTCCTATATATATGTGTACATGTCTTGTGAATAATATAGAACATATATTTTTCTCATTTTCTTACAGTTTGTACAAATGTGGTGTGAAATTCTGAAATCAAAAGTACATAATGACTAATAAAATTTGAACATTAAGAATATATATGTTGAAAATTTGCATATATACCCTGCATTTTCTCAATTTGAGTTAGAGTTGCAAAATGATAGACTGAGGTGTAGACAATTTTTCCATTCTTCTCTTCCACCACCTACATAGGGTGTGTACTGAATTCCAATCTGCAACGACCACAAAATCCAATTGTCATGACGTGAATTGAGATTTTGTACGTGTACCCGAAAAATATACATATTTCAAAATATATATGTTCGTTTCTGATCGATCATAATATTATGACGACTAAAAGCTTAGGTGGGCCATGTATTTTGACAGCAACAATTTTTTGATTAGGAAGTGTGTTTTTATATGATTTTTAAGGTGCGTGGGACGGAGGGACATGAGACACGTAGGCAACAGAACGGCCGACGTCTGGAATCAATTGACAGGGCTGAGAGAGACGAATGTAAGATTCTTAAGTCCTGTTGATTAATTGATCTATGTTTTTTTTTTTAACTTAATTCCTAATTTTTTATTTTTATTTTTATTATTTTTTATTTTTTTATTTTTTTTATACTCGTTTGGTGCCCTATGAGTAGTACTTGGAGGCTGGTACTCTCCCAGACGAGTGTACAGAAGATCCATATAGTTGGATGTATAAGGGGGTGGATCTTCTGTTGGAACATACGTGAAGTCCACTTGCCTGATAGGTTCTCCTTCAGTTTGGGTGTCAGCAATCCATCTCCCAAACTCCGATGATTTGGGGTGAGGCCGAATGGGACAGACACGGAGGCCAGTGAATGATTGAGAGGACATTCGGTTATTGGGTCGCCTTTCATTTAGAGATTGGAAAGGTTTGAGCCGAAGAAAAAGACCAAAATGTCCTCCCAGATGTCCCTGTGGATGACTTCCTACAGGTTGAGGAGAGTTACATTGATTGGTTTCATAGTAGGCCGGACTGTGAGACTCATTAGTGACCCTACCAAGTACACGGTGTACCAACAGGACGACGGCTATCAACCAGTTGCAGAGCGGGAGAAGTGTGATGTAAGTTACATAATTTGTGGTTTTATTATTATTATTATATTGTTTTTTTTTCATACTAATTACTTTGAATTTTATTTTCAGACTCAAGCCTTGGAGGGGGTTTATAACTCCTTAGCGAGTATTCAATACATGATTCCTACACTCCCTCCACGGGCGCAGGCCGCAGTCCAATTGTCATACAACCTTGCCTATATTTATCTGGCTGTTGGAGGCCAAGATGTTACGCAAGGAGCGTCATTCAGTCAAATTCTATCCGAGGAGGACTACGTCTCATCCCAGAGGACACAATCACACACGACGAGACATCAACCCGCTGCCCACATTGGTGGAGGTAGAAGACCTAGGGGAGAACGACAACGACGCCCAAACAATCAACCGTCCCCCCAGCATCTCCATGACAACACCGGGCCTGAGGAAGAAGAAGAAGAAGAAGAAGAAGAAGAAGGTGAAAAGTTTTTACTTACCATTTTATTTTTATTTTTATTTTTATATTTTTTTTTGTCCAGTCAAATTTGTGATTTTTTTATAAAAATAATTACTCAGGTGAAGAAGCTCACACTCCTCTCGGACCAATACCTCGGAAGGGGTCCCCACAGTGCAGACCTAGGGATCCATTCACTTCTAGTTAGTTTGTGTTGTATTCGGGAAAATTTGTGGACATATTTGTTTTTTTTTCATGGATTCTGTGTACTGATATTTTGACATGTTTGTATTTTGAATAAATTATTATGGTTGACTTTTTGTATACTGTGTATGTTAGATTATTATTTGAAGAATTGATTGATATTAGTTTGTCAAATTTATATTTAGTTGTGGAATGGATCCCGATAAACGATGTGTTTTTTGTTTTTGTTTTTTTTTTTCTGCATAGTAAAACGTATTCTAGAAATACGTTTTATATGTTTTTAATTAAAAAACATATTCTTAGAGTACGGTTTAAAGGCAAAATTGATTTTAGAGTAAAATTCAACGTATTTTCAAAATACGTTTTATTTTAGAAAAGAAAAACTATTTTCTGCAAAAAAATTATAAAATTAATTTTATTTATAAAACGCATTTTGAGAATGCGTTTTTAAACTTTTGAAATTTTTTCTGCAATAAATAAATTAAAAAATTAATTTTATTTCTAAAACATATTTTAGAAAATACGTTTTAAATTTATTAAATTAAGTTAATCACGTGATTAAATTAATTGACTATAAAACATATTCCAAGAATACGTTTTACACTGTAAATGTATTCTCAGAGTACGTGGTTTTTATTTTTGTCTACATACTTTCTTTTTTTGTTTTTGTTCGGGTAAAAAAATCCTAACATTCACACATTTTTTTCATAAGATTTTGAATTTTTTTTTTTTAATTGTGGATTCACTATAAAAAAAATTGTTACATTCCAACCTAAAATCTTACCATAATATATTCAAACGGAAATTGCAATGGTATAGCTTCCGTTGAAATAATTCTTACGTTTCATCATTCGAATTTAGATGAAATTTGATAATTCCAACAGATATTTTTTTAACTGTTTTTTCCGTATGAATTTCCTTGAAATTTTTATTTCCACCACTATTGAAATATCTACTTTTGGAATTGTCAAAATCCAACGAAAATTTAAAAGGAAAACTTATTCCAACAGAATATTTTTGTTTGAAATTGCCGTTGGAATTCAATTAAAATATATTTGCGTTAAAATTTTCTATTAAAATTTCATCTATTGGTCTTTGCTAGATGCTTAGCATGTGTTGGGTTTTTTTTGTTGTTTCCATGATCATGTTTTATTGATTTTCAGAGTGAGCAAGTTTAAAAAAACCGATTGATTTCAACACAAGCACAAAAAAATAAAAGCGAAAAAAAATCAATCTCTGGTGATAAAATCAGGCAAAATCGAAGATCGTTCGTGGGATAAATAACGTTTGGTGCCTTTGTATTCCATCGGTTTCTGACCAAATATAGTGGGACCCGCAATGTTTAATTCTTAATCGTTTTTGCTTGCTTTTAAACTTCCGTGTCTTTTTGTACAGAAAAAAAAACTTCCGTGTCTTTTGTTTTTTTTTTTTTTTATTTAAAGTTAATTATTTTTTTAATTTTCTTTTTCTTTTTTTTTTT